ACAACCATATCAATCATCTTATCTACCTCCTTAATTATCCTTATTTTCAGGTGCAACTATATATGTCCACTATCCAATTGATTATTATATGTGTAGGTGTTTGGTTGGTATTTTAAGTCTCAATGTTGTTAATTTACACTAGAATTATATATAGCACTAGCTAGAAATTTAGAAAGTAATAATGTCATATAACATGCAATGGTTTAAATAAATATTATTACTACTATAATAATAATATATATATATATATATATATATATATTATAGTTTTAAATAAATAATTAATCACCACTATGTTACGGTCTGACACAAATCTTGGTGGAGCCATTTCATCGGGCAACTCCTAGCCTCTAAACACATGAAGGCTTGTCCTGGCCTACCATGGCCTGGACACCGCACGGGTTTCTTCCGCTGTAGAACTATCCCCGTGACAACTAGGCATCACTTAAGACAACTAAAGTGGAAACACAAAAAAAAAAAAAAAAGACAACCCCCAAACACCCCATATTGTATATTACCCAAAGTAAATAAGGCTGGTATAAATGTTTTAAGTTGAAGTAGTCCAACCAAACATGATTTTGATTTCGGCACGTATGATCAAACTAATTAAAACGACGATCGACTAGTACAAGGCACTTACATGCATGCATATATGGACTCTAAATAGGGATGCAATGGAAACAAGTGCATGGTTCCAAATACCCCCCATGCCTAAGAGTGAGGAGAGTGTCATGTATCCTAGCTATGTCCCCCCCACTTTCTTTCACTCATCAACCTAGAGAAATCAATAAAATATTAACCTCTTCATATATAGGATACCTATAAATATGAGTCTAAGAAGGATCAAGGGACACCATTTGGCACCTTTTTATGGGTCATTGCATTCATTACTTACAATACTTTTGTGTCCCCTTAACAAGCTCTTGTCTACCATCATCCCCCTTTTTTAAAATTGGTAAACTTGTACCTTTGACAAAAGTTTTAAAGAGAAAACCAAATGAGATTTGTCCAAGTTTTGGTCCCTATTTTTTGCATAGATAAGCTTATGAACAACCATTAACAAGCAAATTAAACTCTTAACTTTATAAAAAATTAACAAGTAAAACTGATAGATATGATAAAATACACATATACTAATTACTAAGAACATTTTAAGTATCACTAATGTAATTTTAAGAGATATTGGGATATGCTTTAGATACGCATGGATATTAATATAGAAAATAATTAATATATGAATGGATATGTTAGGAAAGTTCAAACAAATCCCTAACAAAAATACATCAAAAACACTAAATCTAAGGCCCAGTTTGGAAGGAGTACAAATACATACAAAATACAAGGTTTTGCACTCTACAAATTTACACTTATACTCCTTCGAAACTGAGCCTAAGTCGTATACCTTAATCTTTAGGAAACTAATATTATTTTATTAATCTTTATAAATTTTAATAAATAAATAACTTTCTTACTTTTCTTGATAGACATTCCCTAAGAAAATGTCAAAAGCACATGCAATTATGACAACTACGTAAAGCATGGCTTGATGGTGGATTTAATTTGTTTTCTTCTCATTTGAAAACTTGGGCTCAAATCCTCCTCATGCTATTTTTGTAGAACAAAAATTATGGGGTAGTATGACCTAAATTCCAAATTGGTATTTAAAAACAATAAGTTAAAATTAATAAATTTCAATAAATACTGTTTGATGAGTAATACAATGTATACAAGTGCAATGAAACAAAGTTTCATTTTAAATCATATTGCTTACTGGTAAAGAAAGGTAGATGATTTATTAAATTTTCTTTTGAGTACTTGTATTCCCCATATAGTTGGGACAAAGGCTCAGTTGAGTTCAGTACTTGTATTCTACAAAAAATATTCAGTGACAATAACAACGGTTTATAAAGTATGATCTTTATGCCTTCCAAAAGAAATTCAGGCATAAAGGAGTCATATTGTACAAGCAATACATTAACATGTGAAGAGAAAAAAATGGAACATTCACCTTTTCAGTGTTAGTCTTTTTCATCTTTCCTTTTCACTATTATGTTTTTATAGTGACAATGACCCCCCTTACGCTTACAGCCATGATGATTCTTCCATTTTCTTTTTTCTTTCATCCCTTAAGATAAACTTCATATACTTCTGTAACTTATTTTGTCCATCAACTACTAATTATGCCAAAGAACTCTTAGCTAAATTATAATATTTCATAATACATTTCAATGTACATAATCAATTAAGACGAAAGCATATCTAGAAAAGAGGGATTGATGATCCTCTATTCTTATTCTTATTCTTATTCCTATTCTTTTATTTTCTATCTTCTATCTTCTATCTTCTATGATGTTAGTAACTTCTGTTCACAACAGTGGTTTCTCTCTCTCTCTGGTCATTTAATTTGTGTCTATTAATTTGACAATAATGCAAAGAGAACATGGAATAATGAAAGGCAAAATTAGCCAAATCATGTCAACTTAAGTATTAAGCTCTAGTTGGTTAGTTCTGACCTCACATCGTGGTTGAATAGACATTTTTTTTAAATGTTTGTTTTTTTTTATAAATAAATTATTTATACATAAATGAAACATATTAGAAAAGATTCTTTAAATAAGAATGTATTAGAAAACCATGCTAAAATGAATATTAGAAATAGTCTTTTACAAGAATCTAAAACAGGATTCATAAATACAATTTGTTGGATTTGATGAGCTTTCTTAAACAGTCTTGATAAAAAAAAATTCATAAAAACATTAATTAAGAACATTAAAATTATAATTATAATTGTTTGAATACATGAGAATTTTGACTATGTGAAGATTTTGTTATATGCATCATATATAAGGGAAAGTAGAGAAATCAATACATGGGCCAATATCTTTTGCATTTTAGATCATAGTTTTTTTTTTTTGTACTTGATAGAAATTAATTATTTTTTTCTAGTTGCATGTCAAACCTTCTTGAGGCATCTTTATATTAAATATAAGGCATTTGTTTATTTATTTGCATGAAACCATCAATTTTAAAATAGTTGAAGTTGAAAACTTAAAAATAAAAAATATTAAAATTGTTAATATAAATATCTAATATTAAAATCATAACATGCATCAATAGTCAAAAGAGGAAAAGAAAGAAAAACCTAATGTACAATCATATGGATTACATTCTTTTATGTACATTAAGTGAAGGAAAACTCCTAATTTTTAACAGTGGCAATATTTATTAAAATTTTCAACATTTTTGTAATAAATTAAAATAGATAAAAATTTTCAAAGATATTTTATAATCACAAAGCATCTTAAGTTATATAATATCTCTGCATCATGTATTCTGCAACAAGCAGAGAGATTAAAATAATCATAATATAGACTTCAAAAATAAACATTAAATTAAAATACCCAACTTTATTGAATATGATACAGTTCACCATGTACAACATAACTAAATCTTATTTTCTAACTAAAAGCAATTTACTCCAACTATTAATATATAAGAAAACTTAGCTAATCTTATAATTAAGATTTTAATTTGTTTATTCAATGCACTATTTTATTTGCATATTTATGAGCCAATATTAACCATAGAATAATCATATGCAATAATAATATCACAAAAAAAAACTTCAAATTATATTTAGTAATGTATGTTCCTTAAGCCAGTATTTTCTTTGACACAAATCACATAATAAGAAGTTTATTTAATATCTGATTTTGTCAAAGTATCTTTTCAAATTGATCATAATTTAACAATGGATATGGCATTAAACAAAATAGAATGACTAAACAGAATTCAGATCTGATCTTGTTTTGTACTTTGAGAATTATTGAATGAAAATTTTTCCTTTTGGGGCTTAAAAATAATAAATTTGTGAAATAAAGGAATGTCGTTGGGTAATGGAATGATTTATGATTTGTCCCATAATGGATCAAATCATGAACCAATAAAAGTATTCCCGTGAACAGGAATCAATCCAACTTCAGTTTCAACCATTAAAGAGATGGTAACCAACCTCTTTAACAGCTCATTCACTAAAAGACAAAGTAATAAGTCATTCAATTCAACGAATGGGAGATTGATGTAGAATATTAAGGGGGAAAGGAAAATAGAGATGCATGTACAACTCGGTAGAATTGATTGTACAAAACATGATCCGGGTTGTTTAACCCATTACGTGGTGGTGCAATTGTGGCAGTTGTTGGGTGAAATGAACATGAGGGCAACAGAGAGAGAAGCAGTGAGCACCAAGCAAAAAAGAAAAGGCAAAGGCAAAGAGAGGTGAATGTGAATGAAGGATAGGGGTGGTGGTGGTGGGTCGTACAAATTGCATAATTTGCATGGGTGATCAGTAGTGATGGGTGGGTGTGAGAAGTGAGATAAGAATAAATCCTTGGACCAGCTCAGCCCGACAAGGATTCCGTTAATCCGCCGCAGCTTCCTTTGGGCGCCACCCACTTACTCAATCACCATCCAGAGATGCACTTCCCTTCTTTTAATTTCTCTCTTTTTTTTTTTTTTTTCTCTAGTGTAGGGTCTCACTCTCTCGCCAGTGGAATTTGGTTCCACGGAATTGTACTTAGTACTTTGTTCAGCACTCTTTCTCTCCAGCGCTTACATTACATGGCTTGATGGCCTTATGCCCTGATGCCCCCCACCCCCAAATGCCCAAAAGCCTTAATTTGTTAATTCATTTCTTTACATCAATCCCCAGCCATAGATTTCGATTTGAGTGAAGGACCCTACCACATGGGTGGGTGGGGGTGGGCCATTCTTCAAATTCTCATTCCCGTTCTCGTTTGTTCGTTTGTTTAACAACTTATCTTCTGTCAAAGTGTTAATCAATCAATTAACTCAAATGGGTATAGGGGGATATATGAAAATTTATTAAAAACAGGGGGGGGGAGAGAGAGAGACTGACATTGAAGGCCTTTAAATTCTAATTAATTAAGTAGCCCACAAACGGCCCCTTACAAAGAAAAAAGGAAAAAAAAAAAAAAAACACAAAGAAACAAGTTACAATACAACTCAAAGAAATAAAAACAAAAAAAAAAAAAAATCACACAGAATCACTAGCACTATCAGCCATCTCCATCCCTTGATTGAGCTCCTCCCTCTCTCTCTTCATCTTCACGTACTCCCCGTACACATAGGAACAAAATCCCCACAAACACAAAACGGTTGACACCGCCTTGGATCCACCAAAACTATCCCCATAAACCAAAACGCCTCCCACCACGTTCATGGGCAGTAACGCCGTCATGCAAATCCCTCCGGTGAGTGACGTCGTCAAGAAAACCAGTCCAGCCGTCCCCATAAAACACATCTGCCAACTGACGACGTTAAATCCCACCGTCAGCCAGTACCCCACCGGACCCAGATCGAATCTCAGCCTACTTTCGTTCCTCATATCCTCGTATCCGCCGTTCGATACCATCCCAACGGTGGCCAAAACCGTTGCTGCAATCTCCATCACCACCTGCATTTCCATCACCATTTCGTAACTGTGGATCTTCCTGTACACCATCTCTATCACGGGTAGGTAGAGAGCGAAGAGCAAACCAGCTCCCAGAATGGAAAAGAATCCCAGGAAGTAATGGGTCTTGGTGACGCCTTCCGGTCGGTCATGGCTGGAACCCAAGGCCAGGAGGATGGAACTCAGGGTCAACAGGAAGACGCAGTTGACGTTGGTGAAGCTCAGCTTCTGCTTCACCAGGATTACGGAGAGGAGGAGGTTGAATGCGAGTTGGGAGGAGAGGAGAAGAGACGAGGTGGAGACGGAGAGGTAGGAGATTCCCCACGAGAAGAGAAAGTTGTTTAAGCCCATGGCCAGACCTATCAACACGGATAGCAGCAGGAGTTTGGGTGTGAAGAGGGAGAAGGGGCGTCGGTATGTGCAGTTGAAGAGGCGAGGAAGGTAGATGAGGAGGAGCAGGAGAGGAAAACCTGCGGATTGAACCCATGTAGACACCCACCTGCTTGAACCGCCATGAATGAAGTAGTACCTAGAGAGCAAGCTGGAAGAGATGGAACCCGCGAACAGAGAGAAGTAGTTGATCAGGAGGAGAAGCCAATAACGCAGACCGGTTTTCTGCTTGGTCGACTGCTGCATCATCTCCTTCTCCTTCTCTTGATGGAATTGAATCGAAGCCGAACCATCAGTACTCTTGGTTGACTGATCTTGTTTAATATCCTCCTTTTTCCCCTCCCTTTCTAGCTTATTCATAGAGTTAAGAGATGGATTTTGGGGAGATGCTGGTGAGGAAATCTCCATTAATGCTGCTTATCCTGGTTTTTAATATGGCAGCGCAGAGGGTTCTCGTTTCTTACTTCTCACTTCTCTCACTCACTTGTCTATCTATGTCTCACTGGACACTCACTGGCTGGTAATTGATTTCCCAGAGTGAGTAGCCTTTGCTTTTATAATCAAACAAAAAGGAAAGGGAAGTAGGGAACCCAAATAAAATAAATAAATAAATAAAGTTTAGATTTTTACAACTGAAAAAGAATATATATATATAAATGAAACGAGAGGGATTCGTCAACCTTTTGACGGCTTGAAAGGGATCCTATTCCTATACTATACTTGGAGCTGGGCTACCAGACCAGAGCAGGAGATTAAAAAAGAAAATTCCAAGCCTTTGTTGAGCCTTTTGGTTCAGACATCAGACAGAAATGAGAATTTTATTATAGTGGTGGCTGGCTGTATCCTGTATGAGCGAAAGGCGAGAGCATATACAATATCAATACGTGATTGGATTCAGTCACTGCAAGGCCCGTTCGAACAATCATTATAGCCTTGGATTGGGAATATCTCCCCATTCCCATGAAATAAAGCATAAAAGTACATAGATGTTGCCGATGCAAGGCTGAAAAGACTGTTCGAACGGGCCTTGCCGATTTCATAGACTCATACAATACAACTGTCCTTCTCCCACTCCCACCCTCCAATTGGGATATTGGATTGAATGGCCAAAATGCCGAAGACCCAGTACAGAATTTGATTCATTAGGAGATGATGTGTAGTGAGGATGATGAGGCTTAGTCGTTGTGGATCATCAGTACTGGTGGTAGGCTAGAGTTAATAGGCTTAGGGGGTTAGCCTTGCCTAGCCTAGCCTAGCCTAGCCTAGTCTAGCCTAGCGTAGCCTAGAACTGGGGGGTGGGGGGACTGTGGGCTGCGCTGCGCTGGCTGGGTTGGGGGTGGGTGGGTGGCTTTTTAGTTTTTTGCCCATTCATTTCTAACAAGATTGAGGGATTAAAGATTGGATGTTATCTCTCTGGGTCTGGGGTTCCTTGTTTTTTCTTTCAGCAGGCTGGTTGGCGCTTGCAGTCAGAAGTGTCAGAGTTAAAAGTACAGATGGAGAAAGGTTTATGATTTAAAGCGGCTGCATTAACCAGGTTTCAGGGTGTGGTGAGCCCAGGCCCCAGGCGCCAGGCCCAGGATAAGGAGAGAGAAATAGAGGAGAGAGATAGATAAACTTTAAAACTTAAAGCTCAAGAGAGAAAGAGAGAGAGAGAGAGAGAGGTGGAGGCATTCGCCGTCTTTTCCTACTCGCCTTTCCCAGCTGATTGTTTCATTGTTTCATTCATCACTCCTCTCCCTCTCGTCATGCACTCATGCTTGCTTGCGAAGTGCGAACGTTCCCGACTCTCTATCTTTATAGTAATTAATTGCATTTGTAGTCTTTTCTCTCTTCTCCTATCTTGAAAGTTGAAAATTAAAATTGGTTGAAAGGAGGGAGGGAAAGAGAGAGAGAAGTGAGAAGTGGAAGTTCATGTGGTTCAGTGGACCGACCAGGCCACCCTCCTTTATCAGGGACACACGCGTCTGAAACTGTATAAAAAAATGAATAAAAAAAGGGAATCCTTTACACTTGGAATTTGAAGGAAATCATGTAGGTGATGAGATGGATGGATGGATGGAATTGACGGGGTATCTACATCCAATCCAACTATCCAAGGTTGTAACTTGTAAATATTGACAAAATTGAAGCCATCATCAGCCCATCCATCACATTTGAGAGTTGAGAGAGAAATCTTTAGATTAATTTAATGGGCTCTTAACTCCACTGTGCTTTGTACTGATCTTCCGCCCAATTCTTCTTCACCGTTCCATCAATCTATGAGCGAAAAGAAAAAGATTCCAAATCCAGTGGAGTCGGCTGAGGTTCCGAGTCTATTCTACCATCACATCCCATTTTTGGAAGATAGATAAGGTTTAACCAACACCATGCTGGAATGGGGAGGGGAGTGCCCCCCTCATACATCATCTTCATCTAATCAACTATGCTACCACCAAGGCACCCAACTAATTAGAACTCATTAGCTTTTGGAGAATCATAGCTTTTTGGGACCCATCTATACAACTAAATTCTTCTCTACTTATAGTGGGGGTTGGATATTCAGGGAAGGTGGTGGGGTGCTTAACTTCACTTTGAGAGAAAAAATGTGAGCTACTTACAATACTGCCAAATCCTGGATTTTGTATTGATACTGAGAGTGGGATTGGGATTGGGATTGAGATTGGGATTGGGATTGGGATTGGGATTGGGAGGAGAAGGAAGAAGAAGAAGAGGAGGAGGAGGAGGAGGAGGAGGAGGAGGAGGAGGAGGAGGAGAGAGGAATATATAAAAATAAAGCTTAATGGGGTCAATGGGTGTAGTGCCCTATTTCTATCAATGTTGCTTGGTTGGATTTAGAGATAGGGATGAAATTGATCCCATCAGAATCAATCCATGAAATGAGAATTTCTTTCAGAGGTAAGGATTATAGGATTCAAGAAAGTTAATTCATCATTATATTATTTTTTTTCCTTCCTCTTGTAATTTTATAAAAGCATTACTATTTGTTTTTCACCATAACTACTTCTCAAGTGATATGTATTGCATTACTATTAAAAAAAAAAAAAGAAAAAGAAAGAAACCCAATTAAGAGTAATTAAGAGTGGACATGTAACAGCTTAATGACATAAATGCAATAATTATAAGTTGAAGAGAAACCAAAAGAAGAAAGAAGAAGAAAAAAAAAAGGCAAGTCATGATAATGATGATTAATGAATGAATCTCCTTCAATTGCTTTGAAGCTTTGCAGCTTCACTTTTCACTCCAATATTCCATTCTTGGGCGGATTTTCTCATTATGGACCACGAATTTCATTCTTGGGGATTTCTCATCCCAACCAACCAAAAGACCCCATGGCCAATTGGACAATGGGCATGAGGAGTCCTGACTCACAAACAGTACAGCCACCAGCATCATGACATGATTACAGTTGATTTAAGCTCTCTGCATTGGCACATAGAAATGAAAAGTGATTCATCATCTCCTTTCAAGTTTTAATTTGAAGAAGTCAAGTCCTGAACATTGCTTTCTTGATGGGCTAACACTAGCAGTCAAGAGCTAGCTACTACTTAGTACTGTCTGCAAAAGGCTTTTGTTTTTACTAGTCAAACAAAAATATATAAAATGATAATGTACTAATGTGTGTTGAAAGCAAAAAAGCATTTCAAGTCTCTCAGTCTCTGTTCATGGAGTCACAGATTAGACACCCGTACCATAGGACTGTGCTTGCTTTGAAGCTTTAAGCAAACAAGCTAGCACAACCCAAATTCCATATTGTTCCTGCTTATAATGTAAGGACTAATTCAATTGTATTGATTAAATGGAACTTACGATTATCAAGCAGAAATTTGACTCTCAATCTAGGCAAAAAGGGATCTAGTAGTGAGTGACCCTACACAATTTCATAAGGGATGAGCTGAAGAACTTATTGTTTTTGTGTTTTAATCAAAATAATTAAATAATAAGGGTTCGACTATGATACTAAAAAAACTTGTAACCAATCAATTGGGTTTTTGTCAAAATTCATGGTGGTTTGATTGGTCGACGACTTTCTGGTGTTATAATTTTTTTCAAATAATATAATATTGAAGAGTATGTTTATCAACAAACACTTTCTCTGTCCATGTTCCCAAGTACAAGGCCCATTACTTGGTATAATGGTAAAACCTTTGGGCTATCGAGGGTTAGAATGCAGGTTTAAGTCTGAGAATGACGCACTTTGTATGAAAAAAAAAATGTCAAAGGTTAAGAGGGTATCCAATCAACCCCTCCCAAGACCCCAGATAGTTGGGACAAACATTGGGTAATGGCCTTTATATTCCTAAGTATGGGCTGTACACAGGCTCTCTCTCCCTCTAACATGGTAACCCACACAGCCATGCCTCCAGTACCATTACTGTCACATGGACTTCATGTGAACTACCATGTGAAAAAAGCACTGTGGACAGTACAAGTTGTTCAACATGGACAGTTAAAAATTTTGTAATTAATCAACCCAACTTCAGTTTCAGCTATCAAGGAGTTTGCAACCTCCTGATAACTTAGTTCACTAAAAAACAAAGCAATAAGTTTCAGTTTCATCTGCTCACCCTTTTATGTATCTACTCCATCTTAATTATTTCGCAAAAACATTACCAAACAACTTGAAGTAAGGCCAGAGAAATCTAAAATTGCTTCCCCAACCCCTTTAGAAATTTGTGGTTTTTTTTTAAAACCACCCTCGACCAATTCGGTTTAAAAACAAACTGAAATGTAAAATGGAGATCTTTTTAAAACCAGCCCATACATCGCACAGGTCTCTTCTAGTTTCTAATACATAGAAATTCCGGATAAATTACTAAATATAAGGATTTTGTTTTTCTTTTAGGGAGAGGGGTATGAAAAACTGTTTTTGTTTTCTGATGACATAAGATACAGGAAACTGATAGACACAATCCAAAAGTTACCTTGCCTGGTAGATGAGGGATCAACATCAGCTAACATATATGACAATACTTATAGGCTTCATAAGATAATAATTGCGAATATTTACAATATCATCAAAAAAAAAGTTACAACATCCATCTATACTATATATATATATATATATAATATAGATACTTGCCTCGGTTTTAATGTAAATTATAAAAATTAAATCATAATATCATATCACATGAGATTAATTAATACCCATATGTAGATTCTCTTACACATGCCCTTACATTAATGTTAATAAAACTATAATTAACCATTGATTGATGTAATAGTAAAATCTCAGGCTGACAGACACGAGGATGCATGTTGGAGTCTGAGAGTGACCAGTGAAAAAACATGTTAGGTCTGTATCCGATTACTCTTCTCAAAAACCCATATAACTTGAACCAACATAGGATGATGGCCTTCCTCATAATAAAACAACAAGTAGATAGCACCATGTACAAACAGTGGGTAGGGCTGCCTTGAACCCAACAAAATCCAACAAGTAGGGCCACCCAACCAGAGGCAAAGTCAATGTTATATATATACACAAGGCACATAATTGTTCAGGGTATG